CCTCGTTATATGTTGGGCGAGACCCGTATGTTTATGTGGTATTTTAGGGAACTCACTAGCTTTGTGCTTACAGTTTGTGGTTTAAACATTTTCAGGTACTTCTAGTTCCAAAGGGAAGAGCTCAGCTTGATTGCATTATGTCCCTTTATGGATTTTTCCACACTTTTACTTTTGATATACTATGATGTTTGAAAATAAATCTTACTTTGTTTGTTTTGGATCAATTGGTTGGTATGACTCGATGCTTTAAAATGAAAAATTTTATTGATATTTTGGGATGTTACACAAAAGGACACTATTATTTATAGTAATATTATCAGGCTTTGTTATGGCTATGGGTACTAATTTCCATCAGATAGATGAGAAAAGAGAAGAGTAGATTGATAAGGAAAGAAATAATAACAGTGTATCTTATGTATCATAACCGAGAAAAGAGAAGAGTAGATTGATAAGGAAAGAAATAATAACAGTGTATGTTATGTATCATAACCATTCATTCTAGCTGAACAAGCTATGTAAGTATTATATGTTGAGGACCCAAAGGACTTTGGAAAGCACATCATCATGCATAGCAAACAGCATATACTTGTTGTTAATGATGTTGTGGATGAGGAATAGTACAATAAGTTTGACGAGCTACCACCATTTTCTACCGGCATGCCATCTTCAAATGATGATGTTGATGGCACCACTTACTTACGGTCAAATCACGATGAAGGATTATGGATATCATAACCCACTGATAAGCCTGTATGGTTTGGCCATGTCTATCAAAGCCGGAAGTAGGGTAGCTTAAAGGATAAGCAATAAAATATGAAAGTTATTTTGAGTGTTTTAGCTGAATAAGGATTATTATTCAGTTTGTTTAGTTAATTATATGTGCATAATAGGATACTTATTCCTAATTTATATGATATTGTTTAAAGTTGTTTAGCATATCACTATAAACGTGGTGCACCATTGATTCTTATTTTTATGCAATTAATAAAACTAGTCAAAGACAATTTTGTTGATTACATGTTCTCAAATTAAGGCCTATCGATTCTAATCCTAAGGACCAAATTTCGTATCTATCACCAACATAATAAAGCTAGTCAAAGACTATTTTAGAGATTCATTGTTCTCGAATTAAGACCTATGGATTCTAATCCTAGGGACCGAATGTCATACCTTAGACCCACATACTTTGGAAAGTAAAACTAGTTAATTCAATATGAAATGTGAAAGTGATTGTAAATTGCTCATCACTTTTATTTTAGCCTTCTTCCGTATTTAAAAACATAGATACATAAAAAATAACAAAAGTATATAAAAAATAACAAAAGTATTTAATAAAATGTGGATCCAAATAAACAATACAAATTAAAAATATAAGGGAATCCTCCATAGTATTTGGTTGGACGAAAAAGTAAATAAATATATGGTTTTACATTTGTATTGGTTCAAATTTATGCCAAAATTATTTAAAAGATAAAGTGGTTTTGGATGACTTATTTTGAGGTAAAATTTTGGATATCCCGCTATGAAAATTCAATATCCCGCCAACAATTTTGGGGTCCAATCGATTAGAACTTACACCAGTACATACTCTTTAGCCCTCTTCTTCTCCAGTCCACTGCAGCAACCGACGAATTTGACCACCGCACCGTCGCCTCAAACCCTTCTCCCGTGCCTCAACCGACGACTTCAGTTCATCGTTTCGACCATCACATCGGTGTGTCAAACACTTCTCCTCTCCTAGATTAACCCTATCTCATTCCTCGTCTCACTAGCTAGGTCACCAAATCATTGCTCGTGTAGCAGTATTCAATCGTCTATACGACTCCACATTTCTATTGCTGTTGTACTTTGTATGTTTATTAATTTGTATATTTATGTTTTCTTATTTCCTTTGATTATTATAGCTTCGAGTGTGTTGATTATAGACGACAACAATCCACGCTACGTTGAGCAACAAATATCGATTTGGGTATCGATATTTCCCTCTCTACATCAATATGTAAATTTTTTTTTGAAAAAAATATGTTTTTGTGTGTGTATGTGTTAGAGGTTAAAGATGGCAACCAAATTTGTCATATTTTTACAACTTATACAAAATCTTACTCCCCATAACTTGATACCGACAGAAAAATTAAAATTTGTTGATATCAGCACTTAAAGGGACTTTTTACTCTCCGTGTAAAGATTTGGTGAGGAAGCACAATGTATTTAGTAAGTGATATTTCAGTGATGGTTTTGTGTCATTTTTAAATTATATAACCAGGTTCCTGTTATATTTAATGCATATGGTATTCTAAACTTTGTTATCTTTAGTTGACAAAAACCCCTCCACATTTCAATCCTTTTTCAACCATAAAAAAGATTAATCGGCATGTATAATCAATATAAGTGGCATATCCAGGATAAAAAGATGGAAATCAATAGAAATTGTTTGAACTGGTTCACCTGGAGCTTCATTATCATATCAATTATCAGGTTATAATCATCCTAATTTCTTAATATCTATGAGTTTTATTTCTTTATAATTTTAATATTTTATATCTACCCAAGTGTTTTATATTTTAAGTGCAAAATTCAATTTGGGCTAAAAAATTAGAGGAATATGCTTTTACAGGATCACATCGTTTATTGCCATATTTGTGTTTATGGCCATGCCAATGGCATCCATTTGTGCTATTAAGGGATCGATACCAAAACAAGTTTCATTATTTTGTTGCTAAAGTTTGGGCTTCTATGACAATCACTCCATTTTTTAGACTGAAATTTCAAGGTTCCAAGAATCCACCCCCATAAGATTATCTTGTTGTTTACTTGTCTAACCACCAAACTTTTTGGACATATATACCCTTTTGACTCTAGGGAGAACTTCAAATTCATTAGCAAGATGTATTCTTTATGTATTATGTACTCTTTTTCTATTGTTCAGGACCACACATCATCGGAGATTCAAAAATAGATGTCACCACAATTCGTGTGCAAGGGGAATATATTCGTACCTCTACAAAACATCTTGCATTTTATCCAAGTTGGTACAATTATTTCATCAAATGGTCTTTATCTTTGTCATTATAGATAAAATGTGTACACTGTAGTTGGTTTCACAAGATTTATGTGTTTTCAACTATGTGTCTCACATCGTTTCTTGTTGCGCCGTACCTGCAAAAGTATCATAAGTTTCTATCTGTATTATTAGTTATTTTGTTATTTTGTTCATTTATACTAAAATTTCTAAACATAATTAGTGTACATTGGGTCCTCTTGGTGATTTGCCCTTCAAGTCGTGTCACATACATTTTGGATTCTCTTATGAAACCTAAGCAAAATCCTCTCGACACCTACTACCTGCTACCTGCTCAAACTTTTGGACACGTAAGAAATTTCTTAGTAGACATGAAAATTACATTCTTTCTATAAACTTGAACATAACTCAATTGGTTGTTTATTTTTAGGGCTTTTGCTAGGTATGAAAAAACGCATCAACTCCAATTGTATGGATGTTCGCTGAGGTAATTTATCTTATTACTTATCCAACAGTCAGATGTTGTAGTTTCATTTGTCTTGATTATGTTTCCTTTCTATCATAATTTTAATGAAACCAAGTTGGCGTTTCCGAGAGTCAGCTGAGCGGGCACTATGTAATGAAATAGATGTTTGATTTTGTAATCACCAGGCAATATGGATTCCCGAATAGTGTAAGTACTTATTAAATACTTTTTTGTTCATTTATTTTGTGCCAAGAAACATGTTATGTTATTTATTAGTTTAATTTAATATTTTATATAATTTGGTACCCTTGGGAATGGAAAAACTCCCTTAGAGGAAAAGGTGTTGGTTACGATTGTTGCTACGTGGACTAGGGAATTTCAGAATAACTATATGAATGATGTTGTCTAAAAGTACATATAAGGTTAGTTGTTAAGCATTAAAACATCCTACTTTTAGTTTAATGATTGTTTGTTAAACTCATTTTGAAATATTAGACAAAAAATTGATTCTTTGTTGTGTTTATTTTTCAGTGAGAATGGAGGACTCCTTCTACACTTGATTATGTGACAATTCTACTTCGATGCAACAACAATTTATTTTTTGAAAAAATTGATATAAGTTTTATGTAGTAAGATATGATCAAATCAAGTTGTTTTTTGTGACAGGCAAACACGTTTATATTAATGGCAATAATGATTGGTTATTTAACATGTCTACATTAACATAATTTGCTAACCGGAGCATACTTTTTTGTATTGAATATATGTTTTGGCTGTAAGTCTTAATTGTGTTGGTGGTTAATTGTAATGTATTTTTTGATGTAAGCCCTGTTAGCTATTTTCATAAAAGAAATATTAAAAAAAACAGCTTTCCTTAAATGACCCGGTTATTATAATGGAACCGGTGTAGATGTAATTGTTATATAACCCGGTTTTCAGAATTGGAACTGGGTCTTATCTCCATATATGACTCGGTTTTGTATGGTAGAACTGAGTCCAAATCTCCTTGCGTGCCCATGTTTTGTATACTCCAATATCTTTATATGTCCCGTTTGTTAAAAAAACCGCATCCTTTTTAATTTGATAGAACCCGGTTTTGGAACCGGGTTTTAATTCTTTTTTCGCATAGGACTCGCCGACAATAGGACCCGGTTGAAAACCGGGTTATTTAATGGATATAACCGGGTTCTATAAGCCTTTTTGTAGTAGTGTGTCAATCAAGGGTTTTTGGAAAATATTCCGGGTGATATGGATATCAAACAACTAGATTGGTGTGGATTTGTTGTGTCATGCTTGAAATCAAGCCGAAAGATGTGGAAACCCTTGGACGATAAGTGCGTTTACACCGGTCCCATTGTATTTCTTCTGGTAAACAAATTTCCTTAAGTTTATCAAAACATTATTGAAGATGCTTATATATATCTTATATATTCTTGATCAACATATTCTTTGCAATTGTTTTACCTTAATTTTACAAAAGTTGAGGATGGCACAATTCAAAGTCCAACTGCTGGAATGATTCACTGGACAACAGACATGTTGAAAAGGAGGGAGTTAGAAGAGCTATCTAAAGGAGGTTTCGGAAATGTAACCATATCATTACAACACATGAACATGAACCGCACTGAACAAGGTATATTCGAGCATTTTCAAACTATTTTTGTGGTATCAAACAAATAAAATGTACAAAACATTAATTCACAGAAGATAATTACAAAACAGAAGATGGAGAGGATGATGATGTTGTTGGATCTGAAAGAGATTGCATATCTCCTGATGGGTTTATTGGAAATGTAGTTCAAGAAACATCAGAAAATGATGCAGACAACAACTTCAAGGTAAAAAACATTCTTTTTATAATTACTGATTCACGTACTTCATGTATAAACTGATTCAAGTTATGATGCCATTTTGTTTATCTATAGCATTAAACATGGTAAACATTGTGGTTTTAGTGCTTCATTTATACACTCATTCACATAATTTTTATTTTACGTTCTTTAATTTTTAAACTGATTCACCTAATTACTGATTCAAGTTCTTCACTTTTTGTGACACTTGTGAAAATTATGCTTTTTAGTGATTCATTATAAAACTAAAATGAATCAATTGCTTCATCACATTTTGTTTTATTGATGGAAGTGCTTTTTAGTGAAACATATGCCATTTGTTTTATTGATTCAAGTGCTTCACTTTTTGTGACACTTATAGGATACTTGTGAAAATTATGCTTTGCAATGATTCATTATAAAACCAAAATGAATCAAGTGCTTCATCACATATGTTTTACTAATTCCATTTCATATATTGTCACAATATTACTTTTATAGCATTCTACTTATGTTATGCTTCTTCCCAGGAAATTATGAGGGAAATAAACTTCAATTTCAATGCATATCACAATGCAAAAAGAGCTATAGATAAGTTGTTGATGCGAGGTGTAAAGAAGTTTCCCGATTCTGTCGAACTGCGCATGCTAGTAACAAAAAGAAATCACGAATTCAATCTGGCATGGCCAGATTTTTCAACTTCTGATGATTCTGATGATGGAACAACTTCCAATGGCACCACCACACCTGTTATGCATTATCAACAAAATACAACCGCAATTAAAAATGATCAATTTCAGGAATCAACAATGGTGGGTGATGATGATGCAGTTGTTGATGTTGTGTGTACACCTTTTACTCAAATTCTAAACGAAGATACTTTTGACATGTTGTTGGAATCAGCATTAGCTACCTCTATTAGACATTCAAGTCATCAAAGTCTCACTCATTCAGATCAGCGTGAACCAAATATCAAAAATGATGATGTAAACACTGTTCCTGTTACTATTGTGGCACCAAGACGGTCGAGAAGATTGGTTCAACTAACCGACAAACTTAGATCACCTCATTATAGGAGGGCCGTTGATCCAAACCAACCGATTAGATCAATTGAGGAGAGAGTGTCAGGTTGGATTTGCGCAGGGCTGGAAGATGAATGGTACATTTTCTAAATTAATATATCCCCTCTACATTAAACAAATAATCACACTAGCTATATAGAAATTGATGCGAGCTTATTTTGATTTAGGGATCTTGTATTTGAAACAATGTTTGGAGATAGTGGACCTCGGGGAATTTTTGAGAGTATGATTCCTGGATCCAAAATCCATGGAACAATAATTGATATTTGGGCTACTATTCAAAACCATCTAGAACTGCACAGAAATAAAAAGTCACCAGCAAGGATGTTTTTATCATGCACACTCCTGGTAAAATTACACTTAGGGTGTATACTTACTTTAAATGATTCAATAATATATATATTTTAATTGTAGAGCAACTTCATACTGGATGAGGCGATTTGTATAGAACAACGATACAAAATGTTCGTTGATCGCATGAATGAACATATCGAAAAGTTCAAGCAATGCACAAGCTTTAATGACGTGGACCTAGTAAGTCATTTTCATTACACTGATTCACTTGTTTTAGACAAACTTCATTCAACCAATTTTGTTATGGACATCAGGTATTCTTCCTGGTGCTTGAAAATGATCATTACTACCTTATTGTCTTTGATTTCAAAAAATCAGAATGCGTAATAATAGACAACATTTACTCTGAAGAGTCGATTGAAGTAATTTATGGAAATGTGCCGAACGATCTGGTAAGGAAATTTCATTTTAATTTAACTTACCCATGATCATATATTATATTCTAATCACCTATCATATTTATTCCAGAAAATATTGTTTACTCTGTACATCGACGCTTTGAATCATCCAAAAAGAAATTCAATTAAGCGTGCAGTCACAGTTCGATTGTCCATGGCATGGATGACAAAAATGAACTACATAGATTGTGGAGTATTCGTTTTGAGGCACATGGAAACATATAAAGGTGATGATTTGGATAAATGGAATGTTGGTTTGGAGCCTGAGTTCCCAGACAACGATGACCAACAGATGCAGTTAAATGAATTAAGAAAAAAGTATGTTACGAAAATTTTGACATCCGATTTAAACCTTATCAAACGATCTTTGCACAAAAAGTTGGCATCATACGATAAGTTATCTGATTTGGAAAAGGAAAACTTCAAAACCGAAGAACATCTCCAACGGATTGAGCGCATAATCAGTTTGTTTTATTAGATTTTCATTAAGCTTTCAAGCATGTTTTATGCTCTTTTTTTTGGCTTTGTTTTTGATGTGACAATGATTCAGTGTTTTGTTATCCGTTTCAAGTGAAAATTATTCAGTGTTATGTTATCTGTTTTAAGTGACCAATCTTTCCTTATTATTCATTAATTTATTATGCATTTTTATGATTACTGTAATTTCCTCTATCAAAATCGTTTATGATATTTCTGATATCAAATTCGAAACGAAGTTACAGTCTTTGATATTTACTACACTCACCTGTTCAATAACATTTTTATGATGTATGTATTAATCACATGGATTATTAAAATAAAACTAAACCTTAAGCCTCAAGTTGATTCCTTTTATTACTTAGGTTGTCATGAATCACTTTCATCAGTTTCTAATTCATGCCATTAAACTACATATGCCACATAAAGTAATTCTCAAGTTTTTTAAGGCATCACTTATCATATAAGCATTAGAGCTACTATAACATGTGATTTACACATATGCAATTACTGTCTTAATACATTAGAGCTACTATAGCCTGTGAATACATTAAGTAAACTTATCATGTAAGACTTAGAGCTAGTTTAGCATGTGATCTACACAAATGCACTTACTGTCTCAATACATTAAGTAAACAAAATTAGCTTCATGTCTTACTACTTAGTGTGTTATACGGACAGAATGAAATATTGGATTCATCCAAAAAAGTTGGCTTAATTTATTAATACTCTTACCATTTACAAATATTGCTATCATGTCAGATTGAGTCTACTTATTGTTTGACCAATCCTTTTAAGTAATAATTAATATATTTAAATCATTTTTTAATTCATGCCATTTAACTAACGTATGCCACATAAACCGATGTTCCATGTAGTTATGACATCACGTATCATCTAAGCATTAACAATACCATAACATGGATTCAGGCATAGATAGTAATTTATTAAAAATAACACTTCAACTATCTGCATATATTCTTGCAAGTACATTGCATAAATGTAGAACTCAAACATTTATTTTTATTTGTAAAATAACATTTTTTTTTCTTGAAAACTTAGTATGTAAGAAGGAAAAACCAAATTATTTAGAAGTAGCAACATTAGCTTTTTGCTGGCAAGTGCGAGCATTATGATCAACATACTTTCCGCATTGTCCACATTTTCTCGAACCCTTTTTAGCATTCACAATCGCAGTCTCTTTTTGTCCTATCGTCCTTTTCTTAATCGGGCCACTACCTTTGTTTCTAATTCCTTCTGGAACTTTAACCGTTACTTCATCTCTCTTCTCAACACCAAGTACCGATCCGATGAAGGCTGTGTTCGTCATGGGTTGTGCATTTCTTGTTTCTTCTTCAACATCTTTCGTCAACTCCTTTACTTTCTGTCTATATAACTTTAGCTTTTCCATATTAAAAACTAGCCGATCAACACAATAATCAACTGAAAAGTATATGTCCCGGATCATTGCTTTAAAATCTTCATTTGCATCATTTGTAGGAAACTGACACGTATTATATCCGCTTGCTGATCTCGGCACCACATCCTTTGTCCATCTTCTTGAAACATATTTTTTAGGGAAATGTTCCACACCCGACATCCTTAATACATAAAAGCAGTGTCTACATAGACACCCAGTTAATTCGAATCGTAAACACGAGCAACTAACAGTGCAATCGGATTTCATGAATGAAACCTGTCAATATTACAAAATAATAATATCAGTTTTTTTAAACCAATACTAGATACAACGGACTAGATTATACATACCTCAAAATCACCAAAATGTTTTACATCTTTGTCGATATCCTTGATGCTGAATTTAGTTATTCCATCATATTCTACTACTTTAATTGAGTAGCATGTAAGCATCGATGCCATTATCTCTGTTTGAACTTCAAAGAACACAGTTCGTGTGAATGTTTGAGCTGCCTCCTCTTCAATCAGCAATTTAGTTATAATTTCAGGATTCGTGTAACGCGAGTCATGATTGTTTTTACGTTGAACAAAACGCTGTGCTTCCATTGCCGTTTCAAAATGACTGACAAACTCAATTAAGTGCAAATCTGCATTTGTCATCAACCCGTAGAAGTAATTCTCACCTTTCGATCTTGATGTCGTTCGCATTAACCGTGATAAGTGGCAATCCTGAAAATAAGCAGGAATCCATTTATCTCGTATTGAAAACATTTCGTTAAACCAATTGTTACTATTTAAATCGTATTCATCCATTATTGATTGCCATTCTATATCAAACTCGCTTGCACTGATTCGTTCATTCCATATTAGACTGTTTAAACGTTTCAACACCCCCGTCTTCGACATATGTGAACCCAACTGAAAAATCAACTAGTAATCATCATTACATAAAAAATTTGTCAATTCAAGTAATGCATACAATGTATTATGTGCGTATATTCTTTACCTTATCAGTGAACTTCTGTGATATGTGCCACATACACAATCGATGCCTACATGATGGTGAGAAAACAGCTGGAATCACTTGCTTGATAGTCGGGTCTTGATCGGTCATCAACACTGTTGGTTCCCGTCCAAAAGTACTTTTAAAAGCCATTAACAACCATTTATATGATTCTATTGACTCACTAGCAAGTAAGCCAACAACAAAAGTGACACATTTTTTGTGATTGTCGATACCGGTAAATGGCACGAAAATCATGAAGTACCTGTAAAACAAGTAATACGATATGAATTAAACTTGTTATTACTCACTATAAGTTCATATGATACGCCCAAACCGAAACATGATAATTTTTTAATAAGTAAAGCTACTGCATACTTGTTTATTCGGTAAGTAGCATCGAATCCAACAACATCTCCAAATACGGAATAATTACGTTTTGCTTCTTCATCTGCCCAGAATAACCCACATAGCTTCCCCTTACTATCCACCCAATATTCAAAAGTAAAGTTATGTAAATACTCCTTTTTTTTAGTAAGCTTCTCAATTACCATGTCCGCATCACTCTCACCAATATATGTTATCATATCCCTTTTCAAATTCTTACATTCAACTTCCGTTGCCCCTACATTGACAAATCCACCTTGTGTTTGCTTCAATATCTTGAATGCTCTAACCGAACCAATATTTATATCTGAAACATCATTTACAAGTTGTTTCTGATGATATGTAAGCCTCCTGTTACTGTTCAAAAAAAAATAAAATCTTTTGGATTAACTAGTTCATGTGTGTGTTTCTCCTCAAAATATTTGACCACCCAAAGATTTTCATCATTAACCTTCAATCGGATACAAGCTTTACATCGGGTTCGGTGACTTGGCCGATTACGACGCTGTTTGCTCCGGTCTTTCAAACTATCAAATGAACGTTTTTTTTCTCTCCATCCCTATTACATACTATGTACCTACGGGAATAACCATCTCCTTTTTTTGACTGCTCTGTAGTTGCCTTTCGTATTTCAAACCCACTATTGCGTGCATATTCTCTATAAAATGCCAGTGCTTCATCATATGAAGGAAACACTTGCCCTACATATGGTTTCAACTCCACTTCTGGTGTCCAACCTTTTTCCACAAGTTCTAGACATTGAACCTCATCAGACTGAATACTTGTTGGTTGCGATTCAAACATATCTGTAACACATAAATAGATTTATGTCAGATTCAATTAATACACAATTAATAAAGATTACCAACTTTAAGCTATTTCTTGCTGGGTTTATTGGAAATTTAGTCTAGGAAACATCATAAAATGATGCAGACAACATCTTTAATCTAAAAATTGATTCGTCTATAAACTGATTCACATACTTTAAATCTTACATTATTTAATTTTTATACATATTATACGCGCTGTAAAATCATTGTTTTTATACTTACTGATTCAAGTTATTCAAGTGATTCAAGATTTTCAATTCAAGTGCTTCACTTTTTGTTATACTTGTTTTTTATTTTACTTGCTTCATTAAAACCACAGTAACGAATCCATTTCATCATATCTGTATTACTGATTCCAGCGATTCAATTCAAGTGCTTCAGTTTTTTTGACACTTGTGTTTTTTTTAAACTGCTTCATTAAAAACACCTAAACGAATCCAGTGTTTCATCCACTAACCGAAAAATAGGAGGCACAACTCATATTTAATTAAAACCTTTGTTTAGCATTTTTTTAAAGACAAGAAACAGCTTGCATCAGTTATCAACTTCTTTTACAACACCATTGAATAACATAAGTAGCATCACAAAATGCAATGAATCACAAAAATTGTTCCTCAAACAGATTTAATCACTAGTTTCCTAGTCTATAAAAACATACATCATATTGAATCAACATATTCACATTAACATAGAGTTCCAAAACTACATTCTTTAGATTCAAATACAAAATAAAAATAAAAAATTAACAAAAAATAACAAAAACAAACGTGAATCAGTAAACTTCTTTCTTCGAATTATGTTTAACGAATCTGCAAATTCATTGATTAATAAGTTGAAGCTTCTAACCTTTGATGCGTCTTCTTCTCTTGGTTGTGAAATGTGAATCCGTATACCTTTGCCTTTTGAATTTGGAAATCGGTGGATGTATGTATGAGCTTCTTCATAGAGCTTGGTTGCTCTTTTTATCATGCTTACTCGTTCCAAAAAAAGCCCAGGCAAGAAAATAGGCAAAAAACAATTTTTACTTTGTAACTGATGCAAATCTTTAATATCATCATTGGAACGTGACTTACTCCTACCAATTTTAAAACCACTTACTTAAACATATCCTTGGCTCCAATATTACATTTCTTCCCTTTATCAATCATTAATTAGTATTTCTTCTTGCCTTCTTACCATTTTCACATTTCTTAATGGATCTATATATATATATATATATATATATATATATTATATATATATATATATATATTATATATATATATATTAATTTAAAACCTCATTAGGAACAGTAGTAATTCATTCCTATTGTTTTCTTTTTTTTTTTATAGTTTTTTTTTAATTTTTATTTTTTTAGTTTTT